TATGCTTACTCATTTACATATATAAAATTAATGAATTATTTTTAATAGAAATATTTTTGCAGGTTATGGTTAATTCATTGTTAATTCTCACGTTATTAAACGCAATGGTCAATAATGATACAGTTGCAATCTTGAAAATATAAGGCTACGCCTCGATTCAGCACAAGTAAGTTCTTGTGTATTCCCGTAAATGAATAAATTTTGCTAATTCAGCCTTTTTTCAATCAAATCACTACACAAACAACAAACATGAAATTAATTGTGGAAGGCACATTACCATTCAGTCAGGTCCGTGACCTGACAAAAATACCCACTCTGATAATGCGGTAATTCTACTGTTCATTTCCATCGGGTAATGGAGAAATAAAAAACAGTACAATAGATCAGAAATTCAGTGTCAACCATATAGAAGAGTTATGCAAAAAAAAACTATCTTCCAGATTAGAAAGGTTGCAAATGAAGTGAACGTCTTAATCTGCCTATTATGCACGCATTGAGTCCTATTCAAGTATGCTCTAAGCAATGCAAACCAGCTAATTCAGTTGAAAGAAAAAAACAAGCAGGCCTTCTGCAATGTAATCTTGAAAGATTCATGTTGACAAATCTTCAAAAGCAATGGAATATTGAGTTTGTTCACTTTTTGTCTTAGAAACTGCCTGCTTGGTTCACAGTAATAGAGAAAACGTTAGCAATACCCCATATGTCTACGATACTATATCTTAAAGTCAAACACTGCCATTACCAACCAACAGTACAATAAAAAATAGTATTTTATACTTAAAATGTATAACCCATAGTTGTTGCCATCAGAAAAAACATCCAAGTAAGAAGTAACCGGTTTATAGTTTTTTATCAATCTCAGAGACCTTTTTATATTTATTTTTTACACACTTCTTTATTTGCTTTTTGTATCTACAGGATTATTTTGTTTATTCTATTGCTTGTTCCAATAATTTCGACTTCTTCTCCTTTTTCTAGTATGGCAGCAACCTTATGGGAAAGCCAGCCAGGATTTCATTTTTCTGGCAACAGTTTTCTCTTCTTAAATTTGGTTTCATTTGACACAACTGATAGATCCAATCGAATGCCTCTTGATCATGGGGACCCAATTGATCATTCAATACAAGTTTATAAAACACTTAATTTTCGATTCAAGGGACATTAATATTCTACACTGGAACATGAGGAGTTACTTTAGTAATCGAGATACTTTAGTGTCCCATATAAGAGACTACAATATTGGTATTATAGCTCTAAATGAAACCTGGTTAAAAAAGGAACATAGCGTTTCCATTGCCGGTTATGATTGCATGAGACAGGATAGGAATGATGGTAAAGGCGGGGTAGCTTTATTCGTTCGGTCACAACTGGCATATAATGTTCTGGATTTGTCTCATATTCAGCTTCCTCGTAAAATGCAAGGTTTGGGGATAGAATTAGATAATTTTAGCTTATTCACAATTTACTTGGCACCTGATACTCCTCTTCTGCCGAATATATTACTTCAGATGATACAATCATCTTGTAAACCATTTCTCTTACTAGGAGACCTCAATGGCCAACATCTAGCCTGGGGTTCAACTTCTAACAATCGCAACGGAGTCATTTTATATAACCTCATTGATTCGAATGGGTGGACAGTATTGAATGATGGAAGAGGGACGCGTTTTGTTTCTCCAGGACATAATGTGAGTGCACCGGACATTGCCATTTGTTCTCCTTTAATTTCGTTCCAGCTACAGTGACTCTGGAAAATTTTGTCGAGGTCAAGCGCATTAGGGCACTAACCCGAATGACCTTACGAAAAAATAAAAAAAACGGATTTCATGATTTCTGTTCATGATTATCCCCTTCCACGCCTATTTCCAAAGTATGGTCTTCTGTTAGGGTATTCTCGAGATCTAGGATTAACATACGTCGAGGTCCTTCTCTGAATTCTAATATAGCCGAAGATTTTCTTCATTCTCTAACGCAACCAACATTCGACTTCCAGTTCTCAATAAGGAATTACAGTTCAGCTCCTAGTCCACCGTTCACTATGGAGGAATTTTCACTGGCAATTCAGAATAAACGAGACTCAGCCCCAGGGACCGACTCGATCACATACAGTATGCTTACTCATTTACCTGAACGGGGTGTCCAGAGTCTTTTCAATTTCTTCAATCAGCTTTTACTGAACCAAACAACAGTGCCGAGTGCGTGGAAAACGCAGCTGGTATATCCTATACCTAAACCAGGGAAAGATCTAGGTAGTATTGCAGGGTGGCGTCCAATTTCGCTTACCTCTTGTCCTGGAAAGGTTTTAGAAACAATGATCAAAAATCGCATGGAATGGTACATGGAGAATCGTCAACTTCTTAATCCATTTCAGTATGGCTTTCGGAAGGGAAGAGGAGTACAAGATAATCTGGGGGCTCTATATTCTAAAGTGGCGGCTAGTCTAGCCGTAAATGAATTTGCTGTGGTAGTACTCATTGACATCTCTTCAGCATATGACAATGTTGTCATCCCAAAATTAAGCCAACGTCTCTCCGAATATGGTATACCGTTAGACTTATCCGATCTCATATTTTCCTTTATAAGGGACCGACAAATATGTGTGATCGAACCCTCCAGTGGATGCATGGTAGGACCTAAGCCAGCTTATAAGGGACTTCCACAAGGCTCACCTCTTAGCCCCTTACTTTTCAACATTTATTGTGACCCTATTAAAAATATTGTAGGTCAGGATGTGTTACTTCTAGGTTATGCGGACGACTATGCTTTAGTTGGTACTGGTTCCAATGTGGATATTATTATTGACCAGCTTAACTCTTCTATTGATAACTTGACTTCATTTTTGCAGGATAATGGTCTACATCTATCAGTAAATAAATGTAAAGCTATATTATTCAGGGAGGGCCGCGAGTTGGTATCTTGTCATCGGTCTATACTTGTCAATCATAGTCCACTAACATGGAGTTCACAAATAATGTATTTGGGTGTGATATTTGACAGAAACCTTTCATGGAAGCCGCACGTTAACATGATCAGTATGCGAGCACAAAAAGGCATTAATATTTTATGATCCTTATGTAGAACTTGGTGGGGGGCTGCACCATCGACCCTTCTCCTTTTATATCGAGCTCTGATCCGTTCACACTTGGATAATGGGAGCATTTTCTTGAGTCGCTGTTCCAAACAGGTTACCTTACAATTGGATCGACTGCAATACCAAGCCTTGCGAATTGCTTTAGGTTTAATGCGATCTACCCCCATAAATGTATTATTGTCGGAGGGAAGGGAGTGTCCTTTAGCTACTCGACGACTTTGGTTAGCCCACAAATGGGTAGCAAAACTTTTATCATACCGTAATCCTGTTATACACATTATCATGGAATTACATGATACCTTCCTGCGAGACCCTCAGTACTGGCGCCGAAGCAATATCCCTGCGATACTTGAAGCATACCAATCACTTTCCCAGAAATTAAATCACATTCTACTTCTCCCAACTCTTCCTTGTTTTATGATTGGTATGGACACTCTTGCCTCACCATTGTTTTTCACAGAATTTGACCTATCGAAGCAAAACAATAATAAAGCAGAATTCGCTCGATTGGCTAATTTAAAGTTTCCAAATTACACCCACTTCTATACGGACGGATCCAAGGATACCTCTGGACGTGTAGGTTATGGAATCTTCTCGCCAACTATTGCCGAAGTCAGTGCTAGCCTTCCCTCCTACTTCTCCATATGTGCTGCGGAAATATGGGCCATCAAGGAAGCACTACGCCTTATTCTTGACCAGAGTTTCCGACGGGTTGTGATTTTTAGTGATTCCAAAAGTGCACTACTTAAAATAACACAAACTGCAATTTCGGCTCACAGTGACCTTTTATCGCTACAAACCAAAAGATATGTCTTACAGGCTGTTCACAGTGGCATTGCTATTGCCCTCGTGTGGATACCGAGTCATTGTTACATTCCTGGCAACGATACAGCTGACCGTCTTGCGTCGATGGGACGGTACATTGAGCCTACAAACCACCCTCAAGCCGATTTTCGTGAATTTCTTCCCGAGATAAAGTCGAATTTATGGATCAGCTGGTCAACAGAATACTCCCGACTAGGACAACACAAAGGCGTTACATATCACTCATCAATACCAGCTCCGTTGAAAAAGCCTTGGTTCAATACTTTCACGACATGTCCACGGGATATTATCACAACTATAACTAGAATGCGCAGTAATCATTTCTTAACTATGGCACACCTTCACAAAATTCGAATAAAGGAGCATGACAGATGCGAGTGTGGGGAAACGCAGGAAACGCACATTTTCTTTGTGTGTACTCAAAACCAAGCCAATATTCGTTCATTACATATCTCCATCCATAGGATGAACAAGCAACAGGGCCCGCTGTCCTTACATGAGATTTTATTTGAATATTTAAATATACATAACTTAAAGGCATTGCATTCCTTCCTTACCTCCTCCCACCTTAAGCTGTAACAGATGGATTTGCGCTGACAGTGTAGACCATTGACGATAGTTGTGCTTACCTTCTGAATAGACTCTGCTTACTTTGCGAATAAACCTATGTGCTTGCTAGTGCGATGTCTTCGTAGTGCATGGACAACCATTGTTTCACCTATATGATATAACTAGATTATTTTTAGCTTACTGTGCTTATCGAGTTCCTGGATAACAATTTCAACCCAAGTGTGGATGGGCCCGCCCTAGGTCCACTTAAGTGTGGCCACATTTGGACTTAACAGCAACGTTCGTTACCAACTGGCCGGATAGCCTTAGTTGCTGAGGCCACTGAATCGAAAAGAAGAAGAAGAAGTCACGTAAATGACGCATTTTTTTTTATTCTCATAGTTTATGACCATTTCGTGCTAATATTTGAATAATAATGAATATGTTTTCCTTAAAACATCACTCACGTGATATAGGATATTTTAGAAAATACAACGCATTGAACATTGAACTCCGCATAGCACATGGGATACCGCCGAGAGCCAATTGTGGCAAGACACTCTTGGAATTTGTTGGTAAAAATCAAGAATGCCCCATAATAGATAAAGCAATTCTATCTAATTACATAGAAACAGTTATTCGCCAATAACAGTAAACAAATTAGCTCTTTCCCCCAAAAAAGGTTTCTACGTTTATTTGAAATTGCATCTGCATCTAGAAGGCCTTGGTTGAATGGAACCTATAGTACCAAATGTTATGTCAACTACTAAGGCAGATATCAGTGATATGTGCATTTACTGCGAGGACGAAAGTAAAATCTTGAAGTTCCAGTGGACCTTTTTTACTTGGCTTTCTTTAGTGGTCGACGTTTCGGCAAACAATCTTTTGTCGATTTGATAAGCTGAAATTAACTTGATTGCCTCAATTGTGAATAGCTGTATTTCTTTTGACATACATTTCTATTGCTAAGGTGACATGTTTAAAATGGAAATATCAACCTTAACTGAATTCTTGAAAAACTTACAGTAAGGAACATCGATTCGTCCACAAAAAAATTGTTTTTCACAGAATATTTCACAATATTTTCTCTCGTCTCTCGATGCGCGTTTCACTTACCAATTTAGCATCATCAGATGATTAAAACCTAACGCATTGGAGATTTGAGACAAAAATTCGGATAATCATATTGTTTCTCAAATTTATTTTCTAAAATTCAATAAATAAAAGTATATATCTAACAGAACAATTCATTATGATTTCTCAGAATAACATAACAACACAAAGTACTATGTCAAAAAATAACAATCCATACTTTGTTATATTTGATAAAAAGCAAGAGTTAAAAAATCAGTAGAGTCTATAGTCAAAAAACTGCTACTTTCTACAGTAAACAATGTATTATTTTCATTTAAAGATAGAACTAAAGGAAGCACTAAAGTGTTGAAGATTTATGTTTCTGCCAACTATCATCTACTGTTTCCATCACCTACTTATGAGTAGATATTTCCAGTTAAAACTCCGTGATATCGTTCAAGGTGATTAACCTAAAAGAATAGTGACTTCAAGTATATATCAAATTAGGGTAATTAGGGTAATCCATTGTCAATGACCAGTGTAGAAATATAGATTTACAAGCTTGTTTGAATCAATAAATAATATTAATCTCCTGTTTTGTTTTATAAACATGGAATATATGCTGGTATCAATTAGACATCAGTCTTTACAATAACATTACCACACAGTTAATATTACCTATTAGTTAATCAAGTCATTACTTCTCTATTATTACAAAACTTTTATTGTACATCTAGGTAAAAAAATTGCACATGCAATTCTGGAACAGAAAAATATAGAGGTGAATAAAAGAACATTGATAATTAATAAAATCAAAATACCAAGAAGTTAACGTCGACACGGGCACCCCGTTCGGTCCGATCTAGATTTATGAAATGTTATGTAGCATACTATGGGCAATGATAAGGCGGGATGCGGTTACGTGTCAGCGTATGGGATTATACGAAATTTCTTTATTGAGTTTTCACCTAATTTCGTTTTGGTGGAATTTTTATTTCTTTATTTTGTTTTAATGCATCATATTTTATTTCTTGTTCGAAAGTTTATAAAATTTAATTTTGTCTTGTTCTAAAGAAAAAAAATGTATAGTTCAAGAGTTCATATCAGTTTGAGTTAATTGAAACAAGTCTTTATTCGATAATGAATACTACTAATTGGTAAGCAATTATGGTTTTATAGAATTGTATAACAGTGTGGCTGTATGCATATTCCAAATTATTTTGTAGACTTTTATTCAAAACAGATGGCCATGAATCTTTTCAATAGCACTTTCAAAACCCTAGGTCTTTCACCGGGAACTAACCATGTATTTTACATTTAATTCGAGACCCTCAACTGCAAATGGTTATATCAAATGATACTAATGGCCAATGGCTCTCAATGAATATCATTCAAAAAAATATTGCAATTTTATTCAAGAAGGCAACATGGGAACAATAATTCTCATTTTCTGGGTTAAACTCGGCGAGTTTTTGTGATAGATCATCCGCAAATGATACATAAATAGAGTATTATATTGTGTTACACAAGTCATTACAGTTCAAATGTGATAGTGATGGACCAAGATGTGGTCCTTGTAAAACTGCTGACACAACCCTAATGGGACATAATGTGAAATTCAGCTAGCATACAATTAGTGTTCTATCAAACTGAAATGGATTCCTGAATATATTGACCAGTGTATATAAAACTATCTTCGACCCCGGCTGGTAGATGTATCAAACTGATAATTCTCGATTTTTTTTATAGAAATCAGATGAATAAATGTTATCTAAAGCAGTACGCTCAACAAAAAAGAACAGCGTTTTAGGAAACACGGTGGAATGCCATCTGATCCACAGCTTCGTTCATCTTTTAATTGACAAATGCTATTAAATATGTCGAGAAGGTTGAATATTACTACAGGGAGATTGTCCGTAATGAACATTGAGTTTTGTTATACATAAGTCGTGGGTCACTGTAACTACTTTCAAAATAATCTGAAAGTAAGTCTGTTGAGTAAAAATTCTCTCTATAATAAAAATGAATACGGTTAGAGATTAATTGCATGAAATTACAAGAGAAAATTATGGTAAGCAGATTTATTTTTGTTAAACTTGTTCTATTTTGAGGTTAATTTATGAACAGAAAGGTAGAGGATTCATCTTTAGGGTTCCAGATCTTTAATACCTTTTACTTTGAAATTCTATTGAAGTATGAGCCCATCTTGATAATACTTGATCATCACTCTGATTCAAAAGCAAACCTCTATCACGATCGAAAAAGCTAATATTTCATTCACGTTTGGTAAAATTATTCACTATGTAATAAATCACGTATTACGAAAACTTTCAAGCACTACAACTTTTACAAAGTGCTTTGTTGTCAACATATTGACTTTACCAATAGACAAAGATCTGCTAGCTCTTGGATTCTAGGTTGTCACTTTTGAAACAATTGAGAAATATTATAACTATACGAGACGCTAATTCAAAAAAAGCACAAAACCTAGTAAATTCCATAAAGTTTCAATGAATTAAACAAAAACACTTTATAGACTCTCAAATCAACATAACATTCAAATTTCCTTTCTGCTTCGATTACACTCCAATATTTTAAGTAAAACTAGCAGAAGCATGAGTTATCTACTCCAACGGTTCCGAACTTGACCAAGGACCAACCCCAAAACAAGATCAGATTTACATCTGCTTTTCTCTCAACACGTTCATACACGCAATTTCAAATATACGTCGGCGAACCCAACAAACTGGCCCCACAGGCATCGCAAGTAGTCTTGCTCTTAGGATTGACGAGGGTGCATTTGGAACACTCTGCCCCGCCTACTTCCATGGGTTGCTCAAGCGCAGCAAATCGAGTTTTTCCGCACATCTCGCAGATATCCTTCTCAGTGCCGTTTAGGAACGTGCACGCTTTACAGTGCCATCTGTCGTCTTCGGCTTTACTGCCAGCAGTCGTCTTCTTTTTGATTTTGTCTTCCTTGACCTTGATCGAATCGAGATTCCTACTGTTTGACGGCTTGTCAGCCGAGGTTGTGGCCTTTTCGCGAGGAAGGGTCTTCGTTTTGACATATTCAGCAATCGAGTTGCTTTTTTGAGCAGGCTTTTTCGTCTGCGCTGGGCTCAAATTATCGTAGCTACTACTCGGAGACGTCCGCTTTTCGACCTTGCCCACTTCAACGTTTCTGCTCTTCTCGCCATCTCCCCTCTTGAGCACGTCACTGTACTTGGTCCTCTCGTTGAAGCTAAGGTTGTTCAGCGCCTCGTCCAGATTGGTGGCCTTTATTTTCTTCGACTCCTTGGCCGAACGCGCCGAATTCGGGCTCAGGACATCGCCGCGCTCCCCCAAATCCTTTGAGTATCCTTGACTTTCGAGGTTGCGGTAGACATACTCCCAATCTTCAAATTGCGACCCGTTCTTGTCTGAAGCTTCGTCAGCAAAGTTATTCCGGAAGTTTTCGTTGTTGTTCCTGGTCTTGTATGATTCGTTGTTGATATATTCTGAATGCCTGGATTTGTGCGCTGGTCTGTCAAGGGTAACGGCCTGTTGGGAGGAGGCCATCTGCGATTCGACTTCTATGAGCTTCGCGGTGGGTACGGTATATTGCGGAGAGGGCTGAAAGAATAAACTTATGATAAAATATTGAGTTATATGCGAATAACAAGAATTCATATACTATAGAAAAACTATTGCAAAAAATCGTTCACATCTTCAAAAATGAGGGAGATAGAGTGACAGTATATGAAGGTATTCTAATGCCACAGTAGACTGATATATTGCTGAGAATCTCATGTAATGTTGAGCTGTATCAGAATTCTACAAATACTGTCAAAAAATAATATCTAGCATCAAGGATTGAACAGGAGAAAGATATCCTCCCATGAAAGTCATCTGTAGAGTGGGATGTAAATTATTCAGAAAGTAAATTTATTTTTTTGCTCGCTGTTTTTGCTATACAGGGTGTAATATAAGTACGTTGAAATATTCGAGTGACATATTCCTGAGACAATTTTACGAAAAAAGTGTATATAAATTTGTGTCCGATACATATTACTTAGCTCCTAGGACGCTAAGTGAAGTTGCTGAGAACATTACAATACCCGGACACAAGTTTATACAGGGTAATTCAAATTTGACCTCCACCATTGGGATTTCCTAAACTACAGGTGATATGCCGAAGCTTAAATTAGGGAAAAATGCGATTTTTATGATTAACAAATACTGTTTTGAAACATGAAAAATTCCGAGAATTTCCTGAAATATCCGAAAAAAACTGAAAATAGGAATTTTTGTTTTTATTTTTTTCTAGCGTTATATGACTCAAAACCAAAAACACATTTTCATTGAGGAGGCCCGTCGTGCACAAATTATACTGAAATAATGAATGAAATCAGAATGAGAATCATTATTTTTCTGTTAAAAAAAACAATATAGCGCCCATAATAGATAAAAAAGTTGATGATAATTGCCAGAAGACGAAACGTTGGATAGTAAATCTGAACATGTAAACGTTTAGCTGAAAAAAAAGTATCAATGAAAATTTGTCTTTGGTTTTGAGCAATGTTGTCAAATAACGCTAGAAAAAAAAAAGAAAATTCCGTCTTTCGGTTTATTTCGGAATTTTCCAAGTTTCAAAACAGTATTTTGTTAAGCACAAAAAAAACGCAACTTAACCCCAATTTAAGCTTCGACGTATCTCCTTTAGTTTAGGAAATCCCAATGGTAGGGGTCGAATTACCCTGTAACTTTTTTTCTTAAAATTGTCTCAGGAATACGTCACTTAAATATTTTACCGTACTTATGTTAGCCCCTGTATGTATTTCATATTGTATATTATCAGCACCCTAAGTGATTTTAAAGAATGTTGGTATTTTATATTGTATTTACATCTGGTTTCTGCTGGAGTACATTAGACCTTGGTTTCATAAGAACGTTTTGTCCATAAAACTGTATTTTTCTGAGATGAAAAAGTATGTATGAGAACATAGACTCATAGATTTATAAAAATACGGGTTGGTTGGCAGGGGTCAAAAGGAATCTGAGGTACGAAATGTTTCATCTGCTACTGCAGCAGACATCATCAGCGGCATGTGTCTTGACTGTGGAGATGAAGGTTATATCTCGAATACCATTGATGATGTCTGCTGCAGCACCAGCGAAACGTTTGGTACTTCAGGTTTCATTCGACCATGGCCTACCCCAGATTTTTGATCTCTTCAATTGAAAAAGTATTCATCTCTCTCCCTCTCTTTCTCTCTCTCTCATGTACATTGCACATCAATAGTTTTCGCAGTGCACATCAAATGATGACTTTTATAGGCAAATTTTTTATACCTTGGCTTACATTATTTCAACTTTCACAGGTATCTCATTTTTTTTGGTAGATGGAAGTGCTTCCATTATTCATTGAAAAATGGTCAACTTGATATTTCTATGGAAAATAATCATACCTGAGGAGCAACGAATCCGTTATAGTATCCGTTCGTACTCAAACTCGGTCTGGGAGATGCGTCGGCGTACGCCACGTACCCGTACGAGGGACTGAAAGCAGGATAGTTCGAACAACATCCACCGGCGAACTGAAATTCCGGCGCCGAAGGCAGCCCCAAATGCAGGTGGTTGTTGACTGGCGGGAACGAGTGATTCAATATTGCCGTCGGAGCCATGTTCGCGACGGGTATTGGCTGCGTCCTAATCGCGGGCAACGCGTCATAGCCTTGATGGAAGCCGCGAGCGTGGTCCTGATATTGACGCTGGTGCTGCTTGTATTTGAGAGCTTTGACGGCTTGTTCCGGACTGCAGGCGTGGTTCTTGCGGAATTCGTGTACCTCGTACCAGGTCGCTTTGTAACTGGTAGAAAGCTCCTCCCAAATTAGCTTCCAAATCTGGAAAGAAAAGTAGTCAAAACATGAAATTCGAAAATATAACGCTAAAAGAGCAGACGATTCGTTTCTATTATATATTTCATGTTCTGGCAAAACAAAAAAGTTCAAGAATTGTTAGACGTGCCTGACACTCAACATAAGCAACCAAGCAGTCCTTGGAGACTGTCTTGACACGATCGGGACAAATGGGGCCATCCAAAACTAAAAGCCGGTCACTGTAGAGTTTGTAACCCATAGCTTGGAACAGTTTCTCTGCTCCATATAAGTTGGCCTCGATTTGGTGCTTGTAGAATCCACAGTAAGTCTGAAAAACTTCTGTTCGAAAAGATTTCTTCAGCTAGAAGTGAGGCCTCACCTTTATCTGACGATATTCTTTTCTCCAAGGTTGCGAAAGAAGATTGCCAGCATAAAGCTGAATAGCATTGAATCCTGTAGATGCTTTGTAGCCACTGAAGTCTTTTTTAGAAATGACAGAACGCTCTAAGACATCTTCGGTTTCTGTGAAAGTGAATTTTTGGTTATTTCCAGCAATGCAGAGAAATTCCTGAATATACTCTGGAAGAAAAAGAAATAGTCAAAATAAGTTCTAAGAGTGTAAACCTTCACAGCCAAATATTGCTGTGTCAAAGATACTTTCTCGGTTTATTAGAAGTGGTCTGTAGATTATTTATTCCCGACGTGCATATTACATCATTTAGGGTTTAGGACTCCGGTTTCATTACATCAGTGATAGACGTAGCTTTGATCATGTTGGTTGAGTTAATAGACCTGATTCATGTAGAGTTAAGTTCACATAAATGCGTAAGTACTGGTGAAATGAAGATTGGACAATGGGTTATAGAAAGTACATGAAACCAACACACGAAGAAAGATATCTAAATAAAAACCCCAAACACCACCCATGACATACGAGGGGGGTAATTGAAACTGTTTGGTATCCTATAGTGAGGAAATTTTTCCTCTACCTGCTGCCCGTTAGATAGATAAATAAATAAATAAATATTTTTGGTACAAAAAAAACACTTAGAGCTATTGATAATCTTTCGCAGAGACTTTCCTGTAAACCTATTGTTATTTTGTTTTATTTGTTTGGTATTGTTATGTTTATCCAGTGAGTTCGACAATAATTAATCACACTGTATGATTGAACTCAACTTTATTTCCCTACTACACTGATAATACCGCACAACTCTAACTGAACTTCAGACTAATACTCAAATGTCTATCGCCTCATTAGCACTTCTCTCTGTACTTTTTGGACTAGACTGACTCTCCCAAGTGGCAGTAATACTGCCACTCGATCGATCTCTTTGGAAGACAGTATTAGCCGTCCCTGATGATAACTTGGTGATCAAAACTCTCTGTCACCTACCGGTAAAATTATATCAGAAAAATGTTTGTATAGGAATTGTCTCCAGATATTTTGAAAGTATCAGTAGTAAAGCTTCTCTTGTAGTGGCTTGATTGACATTTATTCTAATGATATACATTTATGAATATTTACTTTACGTGAATTATAACTACTGGTTTTCGTAATGATTCATCAGTTTTTAATCTTCATTTGTGTATAAAATTATATAAAAGTAGTGAATGGATAAGTCATGAATGAATATAAAATCTAAATAGGTCCTTCAATGGAAAACTATCCTGTCTCACTTCAACAATGTTACTGATTAGATTAGGAGAGTTTTTTTATTTGGAAAAGAGATTCAATGTCTTCCAATGTTTCCAGTTTATTGTAATCATTCAGCACTTCATAAAGTAAAGATTTCATGTTAGTTTAATCAGTTGGAGGAAAATAAAATGTATGAGAGGTACTTGCTGTTGTTGAATAATACAGAATTCTAGAATTCTTCAAGATAGCATGGGAGCAGAAATAAAGATAATTGACATCTCCTATAATCTTTGAAATCAGTCTGCATTGGAACCATGAAGAGAAGTGTAAGTACTCGGCTCTTCAAACACAAGAGATATTGTTGCTTGGGCATACTGACAAATCAGCAGTAAGGGAACTTGCACTCAGGGAAGGCACTCACATTATCCTTTTTGAAGAGACTCAAGTACCTGTCAAGAATCAGAGCTACTAGATGAAACCAGAGTACAAAAATGAATGTAGTATGCACTGGAGTCAACTGGAGATGCTTCCATCGCCTCATCATCATTGACATCTACAACAGTTATAGACAAATCATAATACAAAACCTCGCAGACCAGGACCAACAAAACTGAAAAATGGCTTTGACACAAAAATAGGTTCTATTTTTAAATTATTCTGTCCAGATCACCTTCAAGTTTCATTCGCTGGTCTATTTTTTCTGGGATTTCTTCCATCTCTAGGTAACTTAAGTGGCATTTTTCTATTTCCTGCCATAGTTCACGAAAACTGTTTTGAGCTAGACGATAATTTTCCATTATTACCATATTAGTAGTTTTAATTGTGCTTCTTCACCATTTGCCACTCGACATAAATCACGAAATACCTCTACAATAGCATATCATTATTAACATACTTAAATCTAATACAATGGTTTGATTACTCATATATACTTCACAACATTAAAAACAATAACAATCTCACACAAGTCCTATATTTCAAGAATTCACCTTTTGACAGAAATACAGAAAGCACTGAGTTTGGTATTTTAATGTTTACCATCTGCTACGGATGATACAATTAGGCCTTTTTTCCCAATTTTCGCAAGTCGAATATCCAAATTTACTCTTACTTTCCATATAAAAGAAATTTTTAATAAATTCAAACATCTGTTTTATGTCAACAGAACAGAAGCATAGTGCACAGTATTCCGTATGCTGTGATTCCGTGTATACTTGTATAGCTACCTCAGAGTAATTACTCTGATAGTTACAGAATCACAGCATAGTATACTGTGACAGAATACTGACACAGTAAAAGCAGTGCTGCTAAAAGGCAAAAAAAATTTGTCCGAAAATGACAGATGATAATGTATGATTTTCGCTATAATTGTATAGCATCAATGGTCGCCAACACTGTCATCAGAATAATTGACAAGTGACAGCTTGCCGCATGATGCAAAGATGGAATAACGCGATTAGCGCATGCGCAGACACTCCATCGTTTGTTAAATGTGAATGTTTTGAAGTGGTTATTACAAATATTGATTTGATTACTATTTGCATCAATATTAATTGAAAATTCTGCATTCACTAATCTAGCTTTAGCTTATATTATAAATCAAATCAAATGACAACACAAAGATTCCTAAAACAAAAATCAAGAGGGGTGAGGTGAACTACCAATGACCATTCATAAATATTTATTTAAAATTCGTCTTTTCTCTTACTGTGGATTTATTTTTCTTTGAGCGTCAGCGCTTTTCGATAGAATTGACATTTGACTGATCTGAAAATTAAGTGCTCTGTGATCGTGATCTATGACTTCTATGAGTTCTATGACAGACAGACACGCGGGACACGCCTATCATAATGAGACGGAAGACAGAGATAGACAGATCACTCGACTATCGAAGGACGAAGTGATTGAAATTCGTAAATATATAACAGTTGCCTCGTTCGAATCAATGCAAAACCAAATGAAGTCAAAATGTATGCCTTTCGTCAATGTTGTATGCATGTACGACAAAATATTGAATTGTATAGCAATTCGTACAATTGTATAGCCAGGAGCAGCCCTGAGTAAAGATCTTTTCTACTGTGCTGTGACTGTCAGAAGGTATCAATTAAAGGTCGGCTTAGACTAATGAAACTAATGGCAAGTTTTATAAGTTCTGAGTTTGAGCGTTTGTATGTTCCACGGTTCAATAAATGGCCATTTTGTTTGACAAATACTGGTACGATTGTGTAAGTGTGATCGTTCGCTCGTACGGTGACCAGATGCCAGAATAGCAAATTGAACCCAGCGTCATGAGCGATCAACACGCTAAAAAAACAGAGGTTAGGAATGGTGGAGGGGGGGGGGTGTTGGCGCCCTTTGGCTATGGCCGTCCACCGCCCTAAGAAAGGGTCCAGCACGGGCCTGCTCAAAATTAGTTCCACTGAGATCTTCATAAGAATTCAGGTAGATAATAAAAGAAGAATATCAGGTAAATTGGTAGGTAACTAAGAGGAGGTTCTTATAAAAGTGAAGATTACTGTGACCATCATTGTAAATTGTTCCATGTTCGAGAACTGCTATGTAGTTGACAAGTTTTTAAAGTGAATACTTTTAGGTTCATTGAAGAGCTATGTCGAGTAAGTATATTTTTATTTCTGTATAGTGTCGTTAATGTATTACAATTGAAACATATTCATTTTTTATTATTATATTTTACAATGATCTGTCTCTGGTCACAGTATTTTCAATATAGACAAACTCTTCAAATGAGAATGAGCAAATAACAATGACGTCTTAATTCTAGATAAATTTTAAAAGTTATTCATTGAAGTAAAATATATGTATTCTGTTATATTTGTTGGGTAATATTTTAGCCATTCAAATTCATGTTTTCCTGTTTCCTCAAGATTTAAGAACCTATCTTGAGATTTTGATCTCTAAATTATATAATTCAGACTTTCATCTTGGGAATTTCTTTTTAAATTCGGAATAATGTGTGTTCTCAAAGCAGTAAAATGTATCTATACCTAATCTCAAATACCTGGCGATCAGATAGTTTGGATCAGAATCATATAATTCTGGGATTTAAATCGGAAAAATATAATTTCGAATTCGGGAAAAAAATCCCAAGTATGACAGTTGGCAAAATGCACCAATTGCAAAAGTGCCAAATAAAAGAAGAAGAGAGTGGTTTGTCAGTTGTAACGTTTCTGACAATTGACAATGGCGCGTGCCAATGCCCCGTAAGCTGTCCTTTGGTTGATGGTTGTTTACAATTTTTACTGTTATAAATATAGCCGATGAATGCAATTTGTTTGAAACAAAATATATTGTTTTCTAAGTCATCCAATGATATCAAAATTTCTCACCTTAAAGACTCGTATCGAGCCTTGGCAGATATATAATGAAGGTTTAAGTTATAATAATTTATTGAAATGTTACTTTCACTAGATCAAGAACGTCGCGACAAGTACGAAAATAGCTTAAATTTCAACATGGACTATGACAGCGGATATATATCTCACAATCCTGAATCGAATTTGGACTCTTCTTCCTGCAGCGATATTCTGACAGAACAATCCTCCAACAAACCTGTATATTTGAGCGAAGACGCGCTATTGGAGAAACCCGACGTTCGCCCTAGACTGTTTGATCTCAGCATGGAGATAGACCGAGAGGATTACGAAGAAACGAGAAACCTTTTCAACTCGTCAGACATTGACGACGAAGCCTTCATATTGCCCAAGTCAGAAGACAGTCATGAAATCAGTTACAGTGGATTCGATAAGGACTCTGATATCTCAGGTAAACAATGTACATATTATTGATTTACATATTTTTGCCTGCTGAGCACAAATCTAATCTACTTTCGAAGAAAGAAATGAAAATTATATATAGTTTTGCCGTAACAGATAAACCAATTATCAATTTTTATTAGGCTTTCTTAGTTATTATAAGTGAATCACATAATGACATTAAAAATTATCGAGCAGTTTACAATCAATCTGAATTACTCAAATTATTAGATGGTCTAATAACAAAAAATCTTTCATGGTATTGTAGACATATAATCATAAGTCAGCAACATGGATTCAGTCGTGGAGATCTACCAGTACAAATCTGCTCATTTATCTAAACTTTATATACGATATGACCTAAAATTTATCTAGAATTAAGACATTATTATTTGCACATTTTTATATTAAGAGATTGCCTTGCCTATGTTGAAGTTACTGTGGACTGAGACAGATCATTGTGAATTGTAATACAATCAAAGATTTAGAAATCACTCTTGACCCAAAAATGTAATTCAAACCCCATATTGCTATTCTTACTTCTAGAGCACTAAAAATTTTAGGTTTTCATTAAAAAATGTTTTTGGTTTTTTAGATGCGGACCTAATACTGAAAGTTTACATTTCACTATTTTTATTGATTGAAGTTAACTTGTCAGATATTGCAATGTTTTTTATATTCGTTTTCCTGATAACGAAAGTAAAGAAAGTGTTTCTTTTGGGCCTTGTACTATTTATGTAGAATGGAAACAATACTATTTTCATGAAGTGACAGTCAAAAATATACGAGTGTGTTTTAACTAGGAGTACACAAACATTTTTATAACTATTATTGTTATTGAATTGATAGATGTAGCAATTACTACATAATAGGAAATAATCGTGAAAAATAAGAATTGGAACTTTCTATGTTTTTTACCAGTTTTATTTGTAACTAACGTTATTGCAGTTTCACCTTATAGGGACATTTTCAAACTTATACATTATATTAAAAATGATTGATTACATTAGTCCTTATATAACACCACTGTAGATAATAACAGAGGTTTATCTGTGACAATTGTTATTGTTTGTAATTGTAATTAATTGAAGCATTCAAAATCCAGCAGATATAATAATTTTATCTATTTATAAATGATTCATTTTCAAACAATTCTTTCAGATATCGAAATACCATGTGCAGCGAAAATAGTATATGGTAGCGTATCCACTCTAAATAACAAGAACAACAGTGGGGACAAGTTTGAAGATGAGGTTGAGAAAGAAGCAAATATTTTGTATTGTGAGGCTGAGAATGACTTCAAAGGTTTTTCTTCGAGCCAGAAGCAGCATGTATCGGCCTTCTATAACATTACCAATACCCTGGCAACTGATGACCCCAAGAAAAAGTTAACGCTCATATTTTCAAAATGTGATAAAGAAAATGTTTATACTGTGAAACGAAAATACCGGAGCCTAACTCCTAACAATAGTTTGACAGAGGATGAGCTGGAAGCTCAACCGGAAGTTCCTTGCTCTGTGGAAAAAGTTAATGACAGAGTGTGTTTAGATCATAAGGATAGTGTTTCCGATATGAGTATCGATGAGAGTTGTGATGTTGAGGAAAGTGTGATGCCCTCCAAATACTCCAGAAGTGATAGAAAAAATTCTTTTTCGGAAACACTTTCAAGAAATTTTGTTTTCGATTCAGTTGGTAAGCAGGCTGCAGAAAATACCACATTCAAACTAGACACGTTTAAACTTCCTATCAAAGTCCATGAACCCCTGCAAGAAACCCATGAAATAGAACCTACAGAAAGAGAATCCTGTGGTGATTCAGAAGTAGTTATCCCAAGGACTGAAATTGGGGAAATACAAAATAGTACAGATAAACAACGTGGAACAATTTTCCCGGTCATTAAAATTGAGGAAATAGGGACTGAAAACAAAGAACTACAAAGTGATAGAAATGCAGACATTGGAACTACTTCTCAATTCAATAAAATTGAAGAAATAGAGATTGAAAATGACATACTACAAAGTGGTTCAAATGAAGATGTTGGAACGACTGTTACATTTATTAAAATTGAGGAAATACAGACTGGTTCAAATGAAGACATTGGATGTATTTCCCCAGGCATTATCACTGAAGAAATACAAATTAAAAATGACGTGATACAAAATAGTTCAGGTAAAGATATTGCAATTACTGCTGCAAACTGTAAAATTGAGGAAATGCCAAATAGTTCAGATAAAGACAGTGGAAATGCTTCTTCCATTAAAATTGAAGAAATAGATATTAAAAATGTAGAACTACATAGTAGTTCAAATAAAGCCATTGGAACCATTCCCCCTAACCCTGAAATTGTTGAAACACGAAGTATATTAAATGAAGACCATGAACAGAGAACCTCATGGGTTAAATTAGAGGAAATGCAAAATATTACAAATGAAGACTGTAAAAATAGTTCGTCGAAGGCCAATATGGAGGAAACACAAAATGAATGTGGTGGTGGTAGTTCAAATAAAGACAGTAGCAATACATCTCCAACAGTTACAGTCAAGGAAACGAAAAAAGAACTTACTGGTAGTTTAAAGAAAGATAGTCAAAATTTTGTTTCAAAGGCCCCTCAAACTCCCAAGAGAGAGTATAAAAGCATTTTGAATGGAAGCATCAGTCCTGATTTATTCGAAGATGAAGAGACACTTTCCGAGATAGTTCCCGTTCCTCTACTGCCACCAGCAGTTAAGGAAGAGAAGTACATCCACAAAAAAGATAGGACTGTTCTTAGAAGAGCCCGAAATCACCTTAAGGGGGTTCTTCCTCCTCACAGTGTGACGGTTATTCACACGTCAGTGTCTGAAATGTTGAACAAAATCGAGCTTAACAAAGACTATTTTTGGGATGGGTCCTTACAGGAACAGAAATCTAATGTTTCAATGGAGAGTGGAAATAGTCAATCTATGGATAACAGTGGGAGGAGTGACGATAGCGGTCTGGGTGGGGAATCAAAATCTCTGCTGGTTACATGTGCTTTGGAGGATTGTACTAGCAGGTCTTTTCCAAAGATACTTGAAGATAGATGTCATGGTTTATAGTGAGTAATAATTATTTTCGAATACTTTTAATGATTGGTTTTCCAAATACATTTCACGACAATGCAGTAAACATGTAATTTTCGTCCCGTTCAAAGTTTAAACCTTCAGATAGCTGTTTTGCCAAGCCAAGCACTGATGATGAGTAATAGATTTAATTCACATTTCATGTAATTCGTGTTTCATGTGAATTAGATCTATTACTTTTTTTGTATTGTTCTAGTTTTTTAATTTTTCACCATATTGAGGCTTGGCACATATACCTGCGTACCAAAGTGTTAATAGAATAAATTAATGACTGAATTATATTTTCAGTCACAACCGCAGCAAACTCTCTGAAGAATTCGAGGACCTTTGTGCAAAATACGCCCAAAGGTATGTCGGAGCCGAAACACAGTCTACATGCACTGTTTTCGAATCGAACTGTCTCAGCCCGATGAAGCGGAAGCAGGTAAAACAGCGATGGGCAGTCAAATCGCCGGGACGAAGGCTCAGCCACTTGGCCAGGAGGAGGATAACATTCTCCAGCGTGAATTTGCAGTCGGGCATCTCGTCTTTCGCTGGATCAAGGGCCAGGCAGATTTTGGTGGACACAAAGTAAGTCTTATAATGATGATATATCAATTTATTTCCGCATCACTGCTGTTAGTGTAAAAGGTTGTTAAAAATTGGGCACAAAAATTGATCATTTATTTATTTATTTATTTATTTGACACTTTGGTACATTGAGTACATGTGCTAAGTCATAATTAAAAAAACAAAAATAAAACTACAGAAGTTGAACAATACAAAAACAATAAATATGGTTCACGTCCACAAACTTTCACAACATAGAAGTATTATATAAAAAATCGGAGAAGCTCTAGCAAATACTCTCAAAATGTCATGAAAAAGTGTCGTGCAAGAATTCCTCAAGACTGTAGTAACACTTCTGTAAGAGAAGTTTCTTCACCTCAATTTTAAAAAGTTTATTTGACTTGATTTCCCTAATAGATGCCGGCAAGTTATTGTAACAGTTTGTTGTATTAAATAGTGGGGAGCATCTAAAGTGAGCCGTTTTGTGTGAGGGGGTTCTTAACAGTTTCCCATGACGGGTGTCTCTACCATGAATATCCGCGTTTGTGACAAATTCAGGTATATTGTTACGGGCAAAAGTGACACACTTCAAGATAAATAAAGAAGGTGCCGTCAATAGGCCCTCTCTTAAGAAAATTGGTCTTCAACTATCTTGAAAATCTATATTAAAAATTAGTCTCAGCAATCTTTTCTGAGCAACAAAAACTCGTGGAAATTCCCTTGCACATCCCCAAGAAATGATATTAAAGCTGATGTGAGAATAAGCCATAGAAAAATAGACATTCATCAATCCAAAATTATCTAGAGTGTTTTTCAATTGTTTGATTGAGTAATATGCGGAATTGAGTTTGTTGCAGACCTTCTGAATATGACCGCTCCAGGTCAAATTTTCGTCTAAAGACGTTCCTAAAAACAAGACTTCGCTGGAAGATCGAATACCATTTATTGTAGAAGAGTCACTGCTGAAATTTTTCCTAATAAATGATTTCATTGAAACAGATTTAGATTTATTCAGAATAAGTTTGTTACGTTGACACCAAGCACTGAATTTATCTATTATTTTATTTATTTTGTCTGACAACTCAACTTCGTTTTTGTCGGCCACATTAATTGCAGTGTCATCCGCAAACATGGTTATGTGACACTCAGAAAAGAATTCAGACAGGTCATTTATGAAATTGAGGAACAACAATGGTCCCAGGACAGAACCTTGAGGCACTCCTAGTTTTACATCTTTGGGACTTGATAAAATTCCATTGCAGCTAACTATTAGACTACGGTTTTCCATATATGATTTCACCCAGTTCAATAGATTATTTGGGAAACCTAGGCCTGCAAGTTTAATTATAAGAAATTCGGAAGAAATGGTATCAAATGCTTTTGACAAAAGTGGGAACCCATTTCAAAACCATTGACTAAAACTAAAAAATGATACAAATTCAAACTAGCAATATTGCTGTTTTATGAACTAGTCTAATTTAAACAATTGATTTTAGAATGATTTTAATGTTCCAAATAATTCCATATCTGAGTGATGTCTATGTTTTGTTCACAGGAGCATGGAAGAAATAATAAATTTGACAGATGCCTGTATGAAAAGGTTTCTAATTTGTTTCACAGAAGTACTCAACTTAAACTCTCCTAAAAATTCAGCACAATGAATGTTACATGTTACTGTACTGATCCAAAGTCATTTTTTGTGGGGAATAAGAGTTTTTTATTACTCTTTCTAGAGATTTGCACCTTCCCCAAAAATGTTAATGAAAAGACTCTGGTACAATGTGCTTCAAATTATATTTTTGAAAATTATGATTTTATATTCAGCTATTTTGTTTGAAAATCACATAAGCATCTTCTACAGGAATGTAATAGATTGAAAAGAACTGAAAACTAATGTGTTGGGCTATACATTTACTACCACTTCATTTTAGAGAGTTGTCATGCAAAAAAAAATCAAAAGCAATCTGAAACACATTTTGGCACAAGTGATTTTTTTGCATATTGCATTTGAGTACCATTAAATGATAATACTGAAAATAACAGAAATTACAACTCACGAAATTTTTTTGTACAAGTACTAATAAATGTCATTGCTTGTGTTTTCAAAAAGACTCATCCGGAAAATTAAACTCTTGAAAATGAGTTTAATCTTCCTTTTGAAGATGAGCACTTGGTGATTGAAACACACGTCAACATGTTAAAAATAACGGTTTGGTGTTGGGATTAAACTCCAGTAATATTCATTATTATCATTATTTTGTTTTCATTCGGGAGTAAATCCAATAATGCCCTTTTGTTGTTTTCAGGAAATTGGATAATTTTAGTAAAAGAAAAAGCCCAAAGAAAACGCCGAAGAAAACCCCAAGTAAAAGTCCGAGGATGAAAACTCGCACCCCCAGCAGCTCGGCAAAGAAAAAACTCGCAATGCGGTTCCGAAAACTAACTGGGGAGATTGAGAAAACTAACAACTTCGGGGACAGTGACCTGTCCTCAAGAAGAGCCCTGTTCGCAAGTCCGGACTGTGATAAAAAATCTAGTCTATTTATGCCAAGTAAGTACAAACAAGTTCAAGTATTTCTTAGGTTTCCTCTTTTCTTTGATTTGCCAATTCAAATAAACTGACCATCTCTATTGTGTATAAGATGAAGTCAGCTATACTGGAACATCATGCTTACTTCAAAACTGTTTCCAATCGTAAGGTTTTAATAGTGAATATCAGAATTTTTGATGAATTCTTTTTTAGTTTTTGTTCTTTAACAACTTTACAGCCTCATTCTTTTCAATATACTTTCCTTACACTTTTCCATTCCATAAAACTAGAACCTTTGATGGAGAATCAGTCCAATACAAACCAAACACAAAAACTGCAATGTTCTTCTTGACACACGTTTCACCAACCAAGTTGGCGTCTTCAGAATGTAGAAATATATCTAAAATTTCTCTTCATAAAGAGTACGAGGGAAATGATTTTTGATATCTACCAGTTCTCAATATTAATGAATAATCTTACAGAAATCATCAGACAGTCATCTTGTGACCAGAAGTCAAAATTCTGAAATTATTGTGTCCATAATTCTTCAACATGCTACAGTTTTCTTATATAGTCTTCGATTCATTTTCTGAATTGAAAACTAAATCACCATTATAAATTTCTTTGTTTGATTGTCCATTATTACTATCCTGACGATGAAAATTAAGTTCAAAACTTTGAAACACCTTCTTATTTTAATCCCCTTCCTAATGCGGAGAATAAAAGTTATTTTGTTAGTCTCCCTTCATGACTATGACTCTCATTTCTAGGTACTTCCGGCTTGTTGAAAGACATGAAAAAACCTTCGTCGAAACGCGCGCTGTTTGCTTCGCCCACCAAAAGACCTTCGCCAATGAAGTGCTCCCCTTTCAAGAGATCCCCTTTCTTGCGTTCATCTCCTTTGAAGAGGTCGCCGTTCAAGCGGCTCGACGCTTACGGCGACAAAAAACGCAAAAGGACCGATTCGGAAGACACCAGACCTTGCAAGCAGGCTCGCAGTCAGTCAATCGAAATCAGACCATCGACGTCGGAACATAAGGCTGTGATGGATAGGACACAGAGCGATTCGATTATCTACCAGAACAAAAATCCCGTTGGAGAATTGAGTGCCGTCCATAAGAAGGTGAGTGACTGAAGTTGTAAGGAAAGTAGTTTTGGTAATTGGGAAAGAGATATCATCTATCTATATTATTATTATTATTATTTATTATTTGTTCAATTACAATGAAGTAAAATGCCCAGATGAGCGTAGAACATGTCAGTGTAATAAATATACAGTTAAAAACATTTAAAAATTGAAATCAATTAAATGTGAGACATTTTAGCAGGTAAAATCTGAAGGGATGGTATCTTTAAAATATTCATCAGTTGAGTAGTATGCTCTATTTAGAAGAAAGTTTTTAAGTTTATTTTTGAGTGTTGTTTTAGAGAGGCTTTTTAGTGCATTTGGAAGTTTGTTATAGATTTTTATTAGAGTATACGGTATATTTTTCTGAATAAAAGTAAAATTAGGAATATTAGTAACCAAATCTGCTTTATTTCTTGTTGGGTAGATGTGTGCTTTATCAAAGTCGTTAAAAAGCTTTGGATTGCTTTTAATAAACATTATGCTGTCAAGAATATACTGACTGTATAGGGTCAGTACTTTCTTTTCTATGAATAAAGGTTTACNATAAAGTTTTCTTTTATTTTTGCAGGACATTTTAATGCCACTGGTCATCCAGCTTTTACAGTCTTTAACATTTCTCGAGCATTTTTTCAGCCTGAAAATAATGTTAACTAGATTTTTGATTAGGTCATAAAATATGCCATATGCTATGTTTGGGTCGTCGGTAGAAAGTATTTCTTGCCAATTCATGGAGGTCAATTCTATTCTATTCTATAGTACAATTCATATAATTTCCAATACATAGATTAAGGCAAAAACGTCAGTCATTTGTGAGAATTTAGTTCCACTGCATTCCTCACTCTAGTGTGCTATTGTAACTCAAGTTCTTTTATCTTTAGATTAATTTCACAGCAGAGGTTCCAGTTCCACCTATCAAATGATATAAACTATTTCAAGTTATTGTAGATATACAAAGTATTTCAAATCTCAAATACATCACAGTAATTACACAGTATTTCACAAATAATTTTCAAAATATTATTTCTTTAGAAGCCGTATGACACTCGATGTTTCTTTTTTACAGAAACTCCAGTGGGCTGTGTACGAAGCGCTGCGCACGCAGAACGTCACTCCCGCGCACGCGCAGTTCAAACTTTTCGCCTCGATCCTGGCGCGGCTGACGCGCCGCTTCCTGCCCAATCTGAGTGCAAACGCTCCCCGCCCGGAGGGGGGCACCAGCGAGAGGATGCTGCGGATCGCGCGTCACCATGTCTTTGCAGTCGTCAAGGGAAAGTCCGTCGACGAGATCTACAACGAGTACGTCAAGTCGAGGGCGCGCCAGGCCAAGCCCCAGGGCTACGTCAGCCTGGAGGAGTTTGTTGAGCAGAAGGAAAACAAGGAGAATGCCTGCCGAGGCGTCAGGAGCAGCTCCCGGCGTGGAGGGGGAGAATGTCCGCCTTTGGCCAATGAGAACAAGATCGAACGGATCAGGAAGGTTATCAATTTCGGAGATGACAACAGATGATGGACTCGACACAGTCGTTTAGTGCCAATCAAAAAGTATCTTATTAGCTAGAGTTTTTTTGTTTGAAAGTAGGTTCGAATTTCATGGCGCTGATTTTCGCTCCTGGTATTTGGTGGCTTGCAAGTAACTGTTACATTTCTCGTTTTGTATCATATAAGGCTAATGTATAAATAAATATCTATATAGAAAATTTCTGGAGTTGTTTAATATTGGTATATATAGGAGGATTTTTTCAGGCAACGGCACTATGTCAATCTTAAGATTAAATTAAATAAAATCAAGATAAACAAATTTAGCCATTCTTGCTGTAGACAACAATGTAAATGTTGATATAGATGGTTGTGTAACGCTGCGTTAAAAATAGCACGTAAAGTACATTTTTAATCAAATTTTTGTGCAAATACTCTAGCTTAGGAATTAGCGCAGGTTTTATGAAAATAGGTTCACGGGTTCACCTACTGATCTGTTTGATGTTGAGGTTACAGCTGCAGGGTAGACTTAATCTAAGTTTATCTCAATTGCTGTTATAAAACCGTTGAATCCCAGCTGAAGGTGACGCCTATATTTGGGGGTAATCAATGATTTCCTTAATTTAAAATGCAACGTTAATTTACTAGTCAACATTTTTTTTAATGAGAAATGAATCTTTCTGTTTTTTACCACTTTAATTTGTAACTACTGTTACTGCAGTTTCGTTCTATACCTAATGTCTATACCGAGTTTTTTTGTTATCTGCGTTAAGAGATTCTAGTTGGCTCCAGTTTATGTCAGCGTTAGTGGGTTGACCAACCAACGCTGACAAAAAAATTTGGCAAATATATATAAAGTAGTATATTTATACATATACATTTTACTATGACGATAAATAACAAGATGCGGCAAAAACCCACGCTACGCCACTGACTGAATGATTACATTCATTTCTTATCTTGCAAAGCTTTGTTAATACATGATTGTCATGAACTTCCTATCGTATCTATCAAATTCCATCATAAACTTAATCCAGTATTGATGTATATACGATTATAAATAATGGGTTCATCTCCTAGTTCCCCCGTTTTAACCAAAGAAGTCATGGAAGAGTATTTACTTCTTACTTATTTGAGCGAGCGGGAAATTTTCAGGTAAATATCCACTATTAAAACCATTTCAGAACATTTGTTATAGTGACTCAGAAAATATGGAAAATATATAATGTTAAATACATAACCCCAGACTACTTTTAGATATCATGAATATCCAATTAATATTTTGCAAAGTCGAAATATCCCTGGATGCAGATTCTTAAGACTTGTAATGGATTTTTTCAACCGTCTTGTACTTTGCACATATTTAACCCCATTCTAATTCTTAAAATGAAGATTATAAGGCGTTTATAATTTGAATCAGAAATTAATTTCATTAGGGATTTTTTTTATGTCAAACCATTTCTACTATGGTCAGACGAAATATCAGGAAAAGAGCGACTGTGCTGTAGGCGACAATGAGTCATCCAAGTAAGAGGATAATGTTACAAAGATGATTAGCAACCTTTCTACAGTGTGAATCTTCAGGAACTGGATTGATCGATTATGGGAAAACTATAATTAGGAAAAATTTGAAAATTTGGCAATATACTAAAATCGATGAAGGCAACTACGGGGCGACTTCATTGATTCCAGTGGCGCATTTGCTTTTTCAGCTGCAGGAAAATCCGGAAAAACCTGCAGCACCACATTATCTGACAATCTTATTATTTTATTAAATTTCATTTATATTCTTATTTTTTGACCACCCTGTAATTATAATTAACGAATTTTCATAAAAAGTCTATTAAATTTGGTTCCCCTCTACAAGGAACTCGATCAAAACATAATGATAAAGGTTTTTCCTCATAGGAAAGATTGATCATTATTTTAAGGTCTGCAAACATCATTTTTGACAAAAACTTAAATATGTTAAAAATGGTTAGACTTAGATATAGAACATTATACACAGATGTTTTTAGATTCTGATGTAGAATCAAAAAATGTAATAATATACAGGGTTTTCCATTTGAAAAACTAAATTGACAGCTACTTCCGGTATAACTTGACGTGCCGCCATCTTGAAAATATTTTAGCCGATGGGTGATACCGACTTATGAATAAGTGCTTTGAGTTATATATCAGAGTAATTGAATAAAGTTTCCAAATGTCCCCCTTATATTTAATATAACTATTGAATAAACGAGATATGTTTTATGAACATATCAAAAAGTTGTAAATAAGTTAGTCTTATAATCATACGCGCCAATTGTATTTTCATCTGAACCTTATGAAAAATTTCAGATTGTACACTATGCTTTGCAGTCTTTGCACAGTTGATTTTAATGGAACGTTGAGGAATTTTGCGTTCAGATTTCCAGTAACCAGTATTGAGCAGTTATTTCCAGAATTAATGGTAAGATAGTTGTGTTTACATTCTCTATATTTTTGTATTGTTATATTTAAAAGGTGGTCGGGTAGGAACTGTCTGAATGATACACAGGCTGGCTTGATTACGTTCAATAAAATATGTAGACCACAAGACACCGCGAAGTACATGAAATACATTTTCTTGAGGCCAGACTACGATAAGCTGGAAATTCACAATAAAATGAGAAATTGGTTTGAATAGAGCATGGCGTAATCGTAATCTATATATAAAAATAGTTTTTTTTTTCTAATCATTTCGCTTTTATGAGTTAATTATATTAAAAACAAGTTTTTCGAAGTTTTCACGATATAATTTGACATAGAAATGCATACCTTCGTTAATTCTCGACTTGTCAAAAAGATGAAGGCTCAAAACATATGTCGAAAGACATTTACCATACCTCAAGGACATTCTTCTTTAGAATCAACTTTGAACAATAAACTCCTGCAGACAGAATGTATTTTATTGAGTTTTTTTTTCCGAAAAACGCCTGTACACAATGTGATAGTGATAACACTCCAATGTTATGAATTATTTTCTCTATTCGTGAGAATATATGTTTTTGATCGATTTTATATTATTGCCAGTTGATTTAGTCGATATTTTCCTCTGTTGTAACGCAAATCCATATTCATAACGGCATATATACCTAAACATGCGCGCTTGTTTGCAGTATAACCCTTTCAAAGACAGAATATTCAGAGTATTTTCATCGTTGCGAGACGGCAAAATGTCTTTCGAGGACCTGCTAGATTTGTGTTCTGTCATGTCGGAAAACTGCCCTGCCCAGGTCAAGGCAGCGTATGCATTCCAGATATTTGGTATGATGGTTTTTCTGTAAAAATCAAGAGTTATTCTTGACCTCGATTTCAGATTTCGACGAAGACAACTGCATCGGGGAGCAAGATCTAACGGAGGCTTTAAATCGGCTTATTGGCGGATTCGGATCTGTAACCAGCAGTCAACTATCACGTATAACTGACACAGTAGGTATACCCAAGTGTGAACACATTTAACTAAATGTATTGTAGTGCCTACTCCTTCTCTGATATATTAAATATATCCTGAAAGCGTTATAGAAAAATGAATATATAATTTGAAACACATATTCCTGGGTAGTTAAAAACAAAATAGTCCATTTGAGTGAATATTGTCACTGTGTTAGACGAAGTATTTATCGGAACCGATAATTCGCAAAAGTTGATACTCAGAACTGAAACATCTGCAGTGAAACGGATCCTTTGATTACACTTCTTCTACACTAGAACGAACTGTGCTACACTAGAACGAACTGTGATTCTTGACGGGCGTTTCGCTAACCAGGTTAGCATCGTAATCAAGGAGTTGACTAAATCTTAATCTCACAACTATGTTGAAGCTCTTGTATACATCTGGACAAACTGTCAGCTTACACTTCTGTGTTCTAAGTCCCAATTCACATGTTGAAGACTACTTGTTATGGTATCTAATATTTACCCATTTTGGAGTTTTTGTCGCTGTTCATAGATCTTATTCCATATTTGTCAATTTCTAAACTTTCAAAGGTGTCTAAAAGCATGTTAAAAATGGATTTCACTAAGAGTGGAAGTATCGGAGAAACTGAATTTGTTCACGCCTTAGGTAAAATGCCTGAATTTTCTATAGCGTTTAGTTTCAGATTGTGAATAAGCGACCAAAAAATATAACTTGGTTGATTTAAATAAAACATACTGAGAGGATTTCAGGGAAACTGATTCCGTAATATACCAATCTCTATTGTATCAGTAAAAAATTACAATATTATCTAACAAATACCAAAAACTTATTTCATTTCTTATAAATACAGTCACTAGACTTATCGAAAACTCCAGTTAAAGCCCTGTCTGGTAACGAAGGAGCTCTCAAAGATCTCTCCAATGTTAGGGGGAATGTCAGTGGCTGGTCATATTTCACATGGTAATCGGGATAGTTGAGATATCGCCTGAAACATTTTTTTTATTTTTGTTATTTGTATCACGCAAATGTAAGTACCAGATATCACATCATAGTAAGCTGAATCAAAAAAAAACTTACGTTGTTGGATCTGGAGGACACTGGTATAAATAATCAGAGGTTTTAAAGTAGTCGAGAGGGTGTAATGATCCTGAATTTTCTCTGTATTGATCACGATGCAATTGACAAGCCTAAAAATAATCTGAACTAATTATATCGAATATGAAGTATTGAAATAATGTCGAGAATTGTTTTCTCATGGAATACGTCATGGACGTTCAAGTAAACTGTGGTAATAAACCACAATTATTTACATATAATCAAATTGTGAAATTGTGCCTTTAACGTATTCCTGCTTTGCAAATCACATGGATACTGAGAAACTTTAATGCAGGCCTGGAAACTAGGTGTTTTGCAACCTTGCACTTTTTCCCTTTTTTGGAAGATTGTGTCCACAAATTCTCCCCTTTTTGATTTATATCAATAAATACTCCTAGTATATGTATAGAGAGTCTCCACCCAACTATACAATATAGAAACAAAACTCATCATGGATTCGGAACCCTGGTATACCTGCCCGATGTTATACTAATGTAACTTCGATCTCAAGATTACCAAACCTACTATATAAAAGTCGTCGACTTCTTGGTGGCGCTCTCTGTCTATCATACTGAACTGCGGGTGGGGAGGAGTGAGATAACGACATGACTTGGTGTAAGTAGTTACATCAGGGCTCGGCGTGTATACACTTTTGGACAAACCCCACTCGTACCTTGGAACCTGGAAAGTACAGGTTACATAATCATTTAGTCTGATAAATTATACTTATCTTTTATTCTGAATTTCTCAGTGTTTTGCTCTTACTAACGGTGTACTCAAACTGCAAAGGAAAATGTAAAATTTTTGAAAATAACACTAAAATTTAATTTATGACATATTTGTCTATTGAAAACACATTTCACAAATCAGAATAAAAAAACTATCTCTCGACGCCACGTGACGGAGTCACTTATTATAGTTATTTCCTGCGTACAACTAGGCATTTCGTGTTGTATAATTGACTACCCTATTAAAAAAAATGTCAAAAGTTGTACATTTTAGTGCTGTTTTATGAATTGTCATTCGTAGTTTGAATATACCATAACTGGTGACATCAAATTGAAATATGTAATTACTCTGATTCGGGAAATATTCTCATTTCTGAAATTCTGAAAATACTCCATATGGTCGACTGCAACAGGACCTATGCTCAGTGGGGGTGGTGCACCCTTGAAATCATTTTGGTATGAGTTTGAATACATGTTCACTTCACTTGAATTTTGAAAAGGCGACGAAAAATGTTACAGAAATTTGGAATCAGGAATTTGACGTTCCAATGATTATCTACCTATCATGGCTATTTGAATGTCAAGTGAATAATTTAAATCATAGGGCAGTACTATAGAATTAGGCCAGTTTATGTGAGAGAAAATGCTTATTTTTTTGATAAAAGTTAGTCTACAACTTTGGTAGAGCGTTCGAAAAGATATAATTGTAACAAACTTTTATAGATATCCCACACAACTAATAAACTCGTAAGTTTATGAGTTCTGTGGGTATCTGTAACCACATCTGTGAAGAGCTGTCAGATAGCTATAAGGTTTGTTTGGTTCAGTATTTCGAACTGTTATTGAACCGTCCCGTATTGACCCGTCCGTATATTGGGACCGTTCCAGAACTGTTCTGTGATTGTGATGTTCTGTGCAGTGATTCGGCGTCGATACGGGACGGTTCAATAACAGTTCGAAATACAGAACCAAAACAAACCTACTTGTTGGGACCGTTCCAGAACTGTTCTGTGACTGTAATGTTCTGCGCATTGATTCGGCGTCGAAACGGGGCGGTTCAATAACAGTTCGAAATACAGAACCAAAACAAACCTAATAATTACCGTTCTGGAATAGTTCCGAATCGGTTCGGAGAAAACCAAAACACTTTGTGAACGATACTAGAACGATTCTAACTGTATCAAAACACATTTTAATAACTGCGCATGATCGAACTGTACAGAATTGTGAACCAAAACAAACCTATATTAATATAAAAACCACAAAACCCAGAATCATGGACAGATAATAATACTAATGTACGCGCCAAGTAAGGTGATATTTTGATGCGCATTTAAATCCAAATTGTATCCGCCCCGGGAGGAAGCTATTATATTGTTTTCTATCATACAAATAATTTTGAAACCATTCAAGAAGATGACCTCTGATTCCAGTATTGAATGATTTTTTCAACACTATACTTTGGTCAACTTAATCAAAAGCTTTGCACAAATCGAGGGACAAGAGAAAACATATCTTATTTTTATCAATTTCCATTTGGATTTGCGACATTATATGTATTGCCGCTCTCTGTGTCGCTAGATCTGCGAAAACCGTATTGACCTTTATATATAGAAGGTTATTGTTTTCAAGATAATTCAAAAGCCTCGTATGTACCAGTTTAAGATTTTTGCAAAAACTGGAAGCACAGAAATTGGTCGATAATTGATTAAATCGTTTATTTTGCCACTTTTATACATGGGCGAAACCTTTGCAATTTTCATTTTATATGGAACTCCACTTTGGAAATAATGAAATATTAAGGATACTTCAGTTTTGACTGCTTTCACAATTTTCACAGAAATTTCGTCAAATCCACATGCTTTGACATTTTTTGTTGTAAGAGAGGGAGACATTTTATTGTTGAAGGTTTAAAAAAATCACTTCCAATTATCGTTTTCTAGATAAATGAAGTAATTAACAACATTCAAAAAATTTAATGAAAAGTTGAATTGGTAAAAAATTTCAATTTTTGACTTCATTATGGATGTGCGGTATCCAGTCGGGTTGGCATGGGTGATGGTTTGCTCCACTAATTTATCGGAACCGATAATTCGCAAAAGTTGATACTCAGAACTGAAACATCTGCAGTGAAACAGAACCTTTGATTACACTTCTTCTACACTAGAACGAACTGTGATTTTTGACGGGCGTTTCGCTAACCAGGTTACCGTCGTAATCAAGGAGTTGACTAAATCTTAATCTCACAACTATGTTGAAGCTCTTATATACATCTGGACAAACTGTCAGCTTACACTTCTGTGTTCTAATTCTCAATTCACATGTTGAATACTACTTGTTATGGTATATAATATTTACCCATTTTGGAGTTTTTGTCGCTGTTCATAGATCTTATTTCATATTTGTCAATTTCTAAACTTTCAAAGGTGTCTAAAAGCATGTTGTTATCATGTACTAGTCTGGTTTATGAAAGCGAATATGTGAAAAATACCCTTGCAACGAGTTATAACCGCAGAACAGTAAAACTATTACTGTGCACCAATAATGATTTGTTTCCTAATTTTTCACCATTGCTACGTGGGTGGTTAGAATATTAATGGCTTCAGATAAATCGACTCTGATGGCTCATTGTGTATTGTATAGGTTGTTTTCGGTTATTGTTCTCAATTATTGTTTTCCAAATTCTTGGGATATTCAATGAATCGCCTCTGTTGTTAATTAACCCAAGTTTTTCAATTTCTATAATTTGCCAATTTCTCGGGTTTTGTTTTTGTGGTGTGTTGTGACTGTATCAATCCAACTATAATGACATATATATCATAACTGGCTATTGGAGTTCTACTAATACTTCAGTCTTCAAGACTGTATCTATCATAATGTAGTACTTTCTTACAAATTTTCACAACTCAATTTTAAAGGAAGGAGCAAACATTTCTTAATGCGAACCCAACTCTTTCATTTGACAAGTTTATTCAAATCTATTGAAAATGTACAAAATCAATAAATACAAAAT